ACGCGGCATGCATGCGGCAGCGGCAGCACAGTGCGTCTGTCCATGGCAAGCTTGTGCTCGACTCTCATGCTTTCATGCTCTCATGCTCTCATGCTCTCATGCTCTCATGCTCTCATGCTCTCATGCTCTCATGCTCTCATGCTCTCATGCTCTCATGCTCTCATGCTCTCATGCTCTCATCCACCCATGCTCATCCACCCATGCTCATCATGACTACTGCTACTACCTTCCACTGCAACCCCCTTCCACTCACAGGGACGTCACCATGCTGCCACACACGCACTCACAGTGCATGCTCTGCGCCCCCTCACACTCACAGCGCCGTCACCATGCCATCGCCGTCGCATGTGATGCCCTGCACCTGAGTGCACTGCGCGCCCCGCGCCCACCCCATGGCGCTCATTCCCCACTCCGCCGCACACTTCTCCAGCGCCGCCGCTGCGAGTGGTGCAGTGAGAGAGGTACACGCGGGCAGTGAGGGAGATACACAGTATGCACGCTTGTTGTGAAAAATACAAATCTCATCCCCCACTCCGCCGCACACTCCTTCAGCGCCGCCGCTGCGAGTGGTGCAGTGAGAGAGGTACACGCGGGCAGTGAGGGAGATACACAGTATGCACGCTTGTTGTGAAAAATACTAATCTCATCCCCCACTCCGCCGCACACTCCTTCAGCGCTGCCGCTGCGCGTCACAGTGAGTGAGACACGCGCGGGCAGTGAGGGAGACACGCGCGGGCAGTGAGGGAGACACGCGCGGGCAGTGAGGGAGACACGCGCGGGCAGTGAGGGAGACACGCGCGGGCAGTGAGGGAGACACGCGCGGGCAGTGAGGGAGACACGCACGGGCAGTGAGGGAGACACGCGCGGGCAGTGAGGGAGACACGCGCGGGCAGTGAGGGAGACACGCGCGGGCAGTGAGGGCGGCGAGGTGCAGGGGACAGCGGGAATTCGAGAGTTGGGAGGAGAGGGAGGGGAAGGGGAGGGGGAGGGGGAAGGGGAGGAAGAGGGGATGGACGTCAATGCAAATGATCAGCTTTGCTTGCGCTAGTACAGCACAAGCTAGAAAAGGCCTGCAGGACAGCAGATACCAATGCAGATCGTTAGCACCATGGTAGATGGAGAAGGGGAGGGAGAGGAATAGGGTGAGGGAGAGAAAGAGCGATTCTTGACACCCTCAGAAGCAGAAACTCGCCTCAGGAAGGGCTATGCTGTGGAAGGGCTGTGCTGTGGAAGGGCTGTGCTGTGGAAGGGCTGTGCTCTGGAAGGGCTGTGCTGTGGAAGGGCTGTGCTCTGGAAGGGCTGTGCTGTGGAAGGGCTGTGCGTGTGCCCTACGGTGTCATCGCCACGTAGGCACAGCAGCCCTGCTCTCTGCTCCCCACAGCGGATGACTAGCAGAGCAGGCTCTTTCTTCAGCTCCAGAGGAGTCCCCCTCCTCCAGAGCCCCTCACTTCGCTGTGCCGACGTGGCTGGAGGCTGTGCCTACGTGGCTGGAGGCTGTGCCTACGTGGCTGGAGGCTGTGCCTACGTGGCGATGACTACCTCTGCACCCCACAGCGGATGACTAGCAGAGCAAGCTCTTTCTTCAGCTCCAGAGGAGGCCCCCATCCTCCAGAGCCCCTCACCCTGGTTCAGGCCGCCAAACATCCAGCCAAGCATTTAGCCAAGGCATCGCCGGCCCGCGCACCCCATGGGATGGGACTACCCGCCCACAAAGGGACCCACTCTCGCCCCTCTCCATGCCGAGATGACTTTGAGTCAACTCAAAAGGGCCCCTCACCCCGGCTCAGGCCGCCAGGCATTTAGCCAAGGCATCACCGGCCCGCGCACCCCATGAGATGGGACTACCCGCCCACACCGAGACCCACTCTCGCCCCTCTCCCCACGCCCTCCATGCGCCTAACATGTCATTTACAGGCTGTTCTTACAGCGGGTTACTACCTACCCGATCTGGCCCCCACCCCGGCGCTTACCTGTTATTGCGGACCCCCCAGGTGTAGTCCATGGTCTAGGCACTCTCCATTCCTACCTGCCCTGGCTGTGCCCCGCTCTATTTTTGAGTCGACTCTAGAGCATTCCTACCTGCCCTGGCTGTGCCCCGCTCTATTTTTGAGTCGACTCAAGAGCATTCCTACCTGCCCTGGCTGTGCCCCACTCTATTCAATGAAAACGACTCCGTTTGAGAGGGGGCGAGGGCGAGGGGAGGAGGTAGGTACATGGGAGGGTGGATGGCAGGGACGCTACCTGCTGCAGTCCATGGTCATTCCTACCTGCGCTGGCTGTAACCCACTCTATTCAGTGAGAATGACTCCGTTCGAGAGGGGAAGAGGGCGAGGGGAGGAGGTAGGTACTACGTGATCGGCCCCCACCAAGTCGCTTACCTGTTATTGATGGACCTCCGTGGTGCAGCCCATGGTCTAGGCACTCTCCATTCCTACCTGCACTGGCTGTATCCCACTCTATTCAATGAAAACGACTCCGTTCGAGAGGGGAAGAGGGCGAGCGGGGGAGGAGGTAGGTACTATGCCGCGAGGTGGATGGCAGGGAACGCCACCGAGGCGCGAGAGCAGCGCGAGATCGGCGCGAGAGCAGCGCGGGAGCAGCGTGTGGGAGCAGCGCGAGAGCGGCGCGAGAGAGGCACGAGAGCGGCGCTTAGAGCGGCGTGAGAGCAGCGCGCGGGAGCAGCGCGCGGGAGCAGCGCGGCGCGGAGCAGCGCAGAGCAACGCGTTCCCAACGAGCAGCGCGATCGCAGCGCAAGCGCAGCGAGATCGAGAGCAGCGTGAGAGCAGCGCGAGCGCAACGAGAGAGCAGCGCGACGCGAGAGCAGCGCGACTCGAGAGCAGCGCGAATGAAGAGCTCGTTGTTACAATTCGGTAAAGATCGCTAGAGTACTAATGGAAGTCGCGCGAGCAGAGCGGAATAGAGGGGGACTGCGTGACTTGCTGCTGTTCGAGAGTTCGAAAGCTACTACGCCCTGCGAGCGTGGCGCACCTTGGGAGTCGGCGAGAGTCACGGGCTGCACGACACGTGGCAGGAGACTGGCGACGACCGCCGCTAGCCAGGGAAGGGCAGCTGTAACGATCCGCGACTGGGAGCGTCTAGCCCGCCTCGCACGGCCCCCCATCATGGGAGTTACTAGGTTTGCGAGTGGGAGTTACTACGCAGCGATTGCCTACATCGGTATGAATCGCGTAAGCAAAATCAATCACCGTGGCACCTGTACCCTGCATCAGAAAAGCTGGGGGCTCTGAACGGTAGGCTTCGTTGGCTCCTAAACTACGTGATTCCTTCGACGTATATTGGTTCCTACACTACATGAGAGCCACATAGGTGGCACGGAAACGCAGTTCTTGTCCGCTGTCGCATTTCACACGCGACGAAATCAAAAGTAATAAGGCCGGATCATACTTTTTTGTTCCAGGTTCGTTTTGAATGGTTCATCCTGGTGCGCAATGGTCTGATGCGGTGAAAGACGGAAACCGCGCCCAAACGTAGTTAACCGTATTTAACCACGTCAGACGAACCCATGACAACAACTATCACCCACCCTAACGAAAAAACTCGGAAAATCGAGATTGTTGACCACATCAAGCGCGATGACCTGTGGCCCCTACTCCATTTTGCCTTCTCGGGGGCCACTCGGAGGGGCCACGTCGGGGGAGTACACCGACACACACCGACACGCACGTGTCGGGACGAGCGGGAAAATTGGGGACAGTCGGGAAAAAGCGGCAGGCAGTCTCGATCTGTTAGCCCAACATACAGTCCGTTCCAATACAAAACTAGAGCGAAGGTAACGCATCGAGAATCGTATAATCGCATACAGAAATGAAACACAATCATAAACACCCATTTTAAACACATCAGATTATAACAGAAACATTCACATATGTCAGTGATAAGTGCATTTAATTCATATCCATAACTAGGAACATGCCCTAGCGAGTATGAGCACGAATGGTCAGGGTTACGTGACATCGAGTTGGGAGCATTTGGACCGTCAGTAGCAGAAGCATCTGGCAGCTGCATCGCCTGACATGTCAGCTCACTGGTTCTGTTCGCCTCTGCAATATATTAGTCTACCAGAACATTAGCTAGAAGTATGGGAGTTTATCACCTTGATTGTTTATATCACGTGGTTCCTACATTCGGCACTGACATTTGTACTTATCTCTTATCGCGTACCCCAGCTTGATCCCACTTCTAAGGGATGATGAAAGGGTCCGGACTCTCGTCCTCCGGATTTGCCTGAGGAAAAATGCTCGTCACGCTCGTCTCGTCCTGGGAGTTCGGACGAGTTGAAGGTGGGCGCAAAGCTGGCGCAAAGCTGCGCCGAGTACGACATGCCCCACCGCCCCTCGTGCACTGCTGCAACTGCCCGTTTCGTTCCGGTCCTGCCCGAGTTTCGGATGTTTGTAATTTCGAATTGTGTATGTCGTGAATTCGCGATGAACTTCAAGGTAACCACTTCGGCCGGCTACTGACGCTGCCTGGTCGCCCGACCGGTTGCGACCTAACGGTCTGCGCGACGTCGCACGACTCAGAATTGTGGTTTCGATACTGGGCAACTCACGTTCCGGGACAGTGACGTGTGCAGACTAGATGGACAATCCGCTCCTATTCTACACTGGTTCCAGGATATGATAGAACTCGATGCTTAGTTACGAACGAAACCTATTCACGAGTTCTGCGTGGAGGCAAATCACACCATCACGCTACTCCCTTGGCCACTCGTTTCCATCCACATTCGACGCACATTCCCGCCCGCTTGACCGCTAAATGACGAGAATTGCGGGTCATATATTATTGGTTGATGATTGCGCGCCAATTTTATTTTTCGGTCTAGGGTATCTTTTTAGAAAAGGTGCAACAAGATAACTATGAAGGGTAACGAGTGTGTCTACAATGTTCCCGCCCTGACGCAACCAATGTCCGTCGAGGTCAGACTCTGACCTCTGCAACACCACTGTTCTGCATCCTTCGCGCGTCCTACCTCTCTGCTGGCAACCAATCGATACATCAGATTCTGGCGCGAGCCACCAGATCTGCAGAGGGGGCGACCATTGCAGTTCTGCTCGACGCGATGCGTGGGGCATGGGCGATTTCGATCTATGTCCTGCAGTTTTGCTCATTGTTCCGGTTTCTGGCGTCTCTCGGCTGTCGTCGTTTCCGACCAACATGCATCATTGCCCAGTGATTGTGCAGCATCTGACATCGACATCCTCGTCTACAGTTTTTTCATCGATGGAGGACTCTACACAGCATGTACGGCTGAGAAATCGACCAAAATACTGAATGTCTCGTTCCTAGATTAGAATTCAATGTGTGGTCTACATGTTGCAGTCGTCGCTGATTTTTGTAGGAGCCGCCGTAGTCTAGTGGTAGAATAGAACTTTTAGATTTAGT